ACAAGTTCTCAGTCATAAACCAAAAGTAAAGCTGAAATATTGAAATCAACCTGAAACAGTTCTGGTAACCATGGATCAGGTGTCATTTTCTTATGCAAAATAATCATAGTGAGCTGTTATGTCATTATTTTAAGTGTTACATTGCTAAGGTTGCAATCTGTATATACAGCATGATTATAAATGCAATCAGGGAACATCATCCTAGCATTAACTCAGATTAACTCTGAAACACTAACAGAGGGTTGTAAGAAAAGATGTGACATTTCTGAAACATTTCCAATAATTTCACATTTAGTCTAAACTCACATACAGAGCAGTAACAGATTAAGTTAAATCTTCACACTCAGTAAGACCTAGTTTAATACCATCTAGGGAAAAAAAAAAAAGTCCAGGAATAGTTTAACTGGCATAAAAACTCCTGCAAAGGAATACTATGTTTTCCTCTACCTGGAAACACAGCAGCCCAGAAGGCTGAAACAATGTGCATGCTGGGGCACAGGAGAAGAAAAGGCCCTCCCTAAATTGATTTTATCAGAACCACCACATACCGCATTAATCAGCCATTGGATAAGAGGAAAACATTAACCTAAAAGAAGATGACTGAATTTATCCCAAATTCTACAGTATCTCAACCTCTGGCAGGGCAGGGTGGTTAACAAAACTTACTGCTAATAACCGTAAGTGTGTACTAAAAATAGTGGGGCTGGAGAGCACATTCCCTCTGAGCACAAACACTGACCAATGCAGAGCTGTGTGTCTTGCAAACATTTTCTTCTGTGACGTTGGCCATGGCAACATGAGAAATTGTCTGCAGATTCATTCATGTGTTGAGCACAAATTAAAAATGTAGGGGTGATAAAACACGAAAGAAAAATAAATCAAATCTACAAAACCAAGAGCCTTTAGGGACAAATAGTGACTTAAAGTGTCATAATATCTATGAGAAGCTGCTTCATAAACTCAATAGCACAACATCACTTTAGGTCTTAAATGCATTTATTCTTCCTACCTTTGGTAGGAAATGGAATGCCTATCTTGTAAGAAGGCAACAAACAACTGGTATCTCCTGAACAGCAAGGGCACTTAGCAAACCAAAATCTGTAGTTTGCTGTGGCCGTTACAGTCTAAAGTGCCACAAATGCAGGAACTCACCTGGTTTTAAAACAACTCAAAAAATGGGAATGTTTTCACTACTCAAAAACATGCATCGAGCCAAATATTCAAGCTTCATGGAGTAGACTGTATTACATCTGAACTGATTGTTTAGCATTCTATGTTTGTAAAAGATTGATTTATTTTTAGCTTATTTCTTCCTAATATTTTCCCAAACTACTCACAAAACATCCCAATTATGCAAAAAGCAGATGGAGAAGACAGAAGTTCCACTCCACAAAATTCTTAGAGTAACTAGGTGGGGAAGAGAGATCATTTAATGCAGATTAGGAGAGAAACACTAATTGAGATGTAGCTGTGGCATTTTCATGTCAACAACTATCCTGTATGTATTAAGAAATTAATGCTTCTACAGACATTTCTCAATGGTCCAAACTACTACTGAGCTATTTCTGGAAACAAAGGACTGATTAAAAAAATCACTATCAAAAAGAGGAAAGCATGAATTGACTAAAATGAATATAAATGAATAATAATAATGAATAATTAAAGTAAAATATTAATAGTGATAGAGGATTTTAAGAAAACCATGCTTTAAAAAAACAACATTTTCCTATCAGGAATTCAGAGCTTTTCTATCTTATATTTGTTATCCTGTAGCACAGTAAGGTAACTTACATACTATGACTCCTAGCCACACCATCCACATTCTGTTCAAGTCAATTACAAAAACACAACGTATCTTAACAATATATTTGATCAAAAGGACAAAGACACGAGCTCAGACACCCACATCATTGGCTCTGAAGAAACTAAGATTTTTAGAAATCAGTCAGATTGAGGGGTATTGTGTATAAAAGGGTTCATAACTCCAGGGCCTCCTTAGCACAATACAAATGGTAATAAACAAAGAGTAGTTGCTAATACATCAGCAGCATAAAGAGCTCTGCACTCAATTAGAATCAAACGCATGTGTCTGTACAGACACATCCACCTCCTCTGCCCATGCAATTCCTGCTTTTTAAATACAGTGCTCTGTACCACTGTGGCTTTTTCAAGGGCTCTACGAAAAGCAGAAATATTACCTGTGCACTTCCTGATGGAAGTACTTGCAAAAAGGGGAAAAAACATTGCATGTTGTGAAGAGATTGTACATGGCCTAAATGTAGCTTAACTTTACTACCAACAGAAATAGATTTCTAGCACTTATAGCTACCTCAAACTACAAAGACATGTTGTGTTTACACTGATTCCATTTTCTTACATGGCTATTTTGTTTTACTAATTGCTTTTCCTAAGTCTTATATGCTCTAATGTACACTGGAAGATTTTGTTTTTAATAGAACACCAAATAGTTTAACCTGTACTTAAGTTAGCATTCTAAAAAAAAAAAAAATTTGAGATTTTAAATTCATCAGTTCCACTTATCTAACTTATGTATTAAAAGTTTAGAGCATAACTACAAATCCACATGTAACTGAAAAAAGATAACTAGGAATAAAAGAAGTAAACAAATAGGCCCCATAATTACTTAAGTAAAACAATCATTCTCTAATGTAAAGGCAAAAAAACCCATAAGCCAAGCCAAAACAACCTAGCTCACACTAAGCAACCATGAAGATTCTGCTGTTACAGAAAATACATTCTGATTACTTAGCACTTCAAAGATTATTCCTTGTAGTCTTACATAAAAGCATCCAAGTTAAGGCACTGGTTAGGTTTATTGCCAATAACAATTATTCACATCACATGAAGTTAACAAATAAGCTGGAAGGGGATGGGAGTGTTGGGGGAGAAATTTTGCTGGGCTTTTGGTTGGAGATGGGGTGTGTTGGGGGTTATTTGGAGTTTTGAGTGTTGTTTTATTTTTAAAAGGAAAACAAAACCTAGATAACTGTAATCTAACTGAGTGCTGTGTAACTGCTACTCAGGAATCAATCCATGAATGCACTGTACATGCCCCCAGCAAAGATCAGCTACATAATCCTGTATTCCATGTATTGGGGTGGGGAGGCAAGGAGAGCAAGAAGGGAAGTCATCTAAGACTGTAAAGCCACATATGAAGTATAGTTTACTAAACATTCCAATGATTAAAAAGCTAACCTACTGCACCAGATTTACTAGATGTTTCTTTAATATTCAGGAGTAACACTGAATTCATATTCTGCTTATATACACATGCAAATTAAAAACTTTTTCAATTCAGCAGATATTTCATTTTTTTAAACATGAAAAACAGAGAATAGAATATAAATGATGTAATATAAGATATTGTCAAAGACTGAAGAGTCAAAAAAATAACTGAATGGGTTACAAAACTTCCATAGTATTCTAGACAGGCAAAAAGCTGCATCAGCTTCAGACCAGACATCTACTCCTAGCTCAGCTAAGTACAAGTGAGAAGCTCTTTACACTGCATCATCTCTTCAACAAAATACAAGGCCAAAACAAACAAAAAAGTGCAACAAAAAAATTTAACAAATCACAACATAAAAGCAAACATTCTGAAATTAAATTCTAGTTGCCAAGTTCTGGTGTCATAGACACAAAACTATTTGGGATTATAGAAATTCACAGTAAAATGTGAGAGTGTAAAGACATTTTTGTTCCTATACAGTCTAACTGTACTGTTGCTTGACAGCCATCAAAATCCCATTGCACAAATGGTTCTAAAACAGAAGTATAAAGCTAACATGGGTTAGAACTGACAGTTTACTTTCAAACATTTTTTAACAGAGATCCTCAAGTGACCATGAAAGCTATCTATGTAGCTCATTCAGTTTTATCCATCAAACTTATGATCTGCAAACCCATGAAAAGCATATTTATAAGCATTTAATTCTTGTCTCATTGATTTAAGTCAGCTCTGCCATGTACTTGAAATTAAAATCATTCTTTAACAGGAAAAACTTTTCTCTAGCCAAGGTCTTATCCTTCCTTTTTTCCTTACCCAAAATTCTAGTGCATTTCACTAGGACTGTTCAAGTACATTACAAAGCATCAACAGTTTCAAATTCCCTCAACAAATTCCTATTAAAGGTGTATCACACAGGACTGTTGACATGTACATACTAGTACTTAAAAATAGCCTATTAACTGCTGTCCACAGCTAAATTATATAGGCTTCATTACTTCAAATTTGTCCATGTCACCACCTCCCTCCCACATGTTTTTAATCTTCTCCTAGAAGCTTGTTTTTTTTAAAAAAGCAGCAACTTAAAAATAGATTAGGTCCAACTTTTTGGTGCCTTTTTATAATACTAAATTTCCTCCTTACCATATGCAGAGCTCCAAAATAAGCTCATTTTGTTTTAAGCTATATTTACATTTTTACTATTACTGATTTTTAGGTTTGTGCTTCTTTTCCCTTTGAAAATCTTCAGGCCTTTGTGAAACCTTTTAAGAGGAGTCAGTCACTAGTTACTTTTCACTCTTTGTATGCCCTGGCAGTAGCATTATCTATTAGGTCTTGATCTTTGCTTTTCATACCAAAATTTTTACTATTTTTAATACCCTGTGTTCCACAGAGTTCTTCCCTAAGGAGAGTTTTTTTGAAAAGCCCTCCTCCATTTTAAATTAACCCAAGCAAACTTTAAACTATCAAACTACTTTCCACTATGAATTCCACAGTTAAATGTCTAACACCTGGCAACAGTTGTCACTGATTATCTTACCAAGCCTGGTACCAAAAGCCTTAAATATTTTAACCATTTTACAACATAAAAGGAATAGTGGCAGGAGGTTAATAGGAACTGACCTATTCTAGTGTAAATGTCTATCTAACTGCTGAGGGGTTTTGATAGCTGATTTTCACACAGTTTAACTGGTTTTTGAAAAAGCAGTATTACAGACATTATGAGTCAGCTTTAATCAGTTAAACAACTAACCTTTTGCTCTGTTTGCAGTTGGTCACATCTCTGCTTCTCATGGTTAAGTTCTTTTTCCAGTCTTTCAACTTGATCTCTGAGTTGTGTCGTTTCCTTCTCCAGAACAGAAGTTATCTTTAATAGCTCTTCTTTTTCTTTAATGATTTTTTCAATTTTAAACTGTAAGAACAAAAATAATGGGTTTAGATAATTTTTCTCCCTTCTTATCAAATACGTGGATAACTAATTACTCCAGTGTTTGAGAAGAAGCACAAAACTGTCTGTTCCCTGGCTAGCTTACTTTACAGTTTTCCCCTCATTCCCAAATTTCTGAAGTTTCATTGTTTCAAAAAGTTAGTACTACACTACCATTAGCACACTTTGCAGTGTCTTGATTTATACTCAAGTTTTCTTCCTCTCCTTAAACGAACTGCCTTTACTGTTCCCAAGCGACAGCAACTGTGGAGAAGCTAATTATGATGGTAACAGCTTGGTGAAAAAAATAGCTGCTGAGTGTAGAGACACAAACACACTCTAAAGCAGTATTTGAGGAATTTCACCAGAAAAATGAACGCACACACACCAACAACCAGAAAGTAAGAACTGGCATGTGAATTATGCCTTTTCAATACTTAAGGGGGCTGATAAGAAAGATAAGGACAGACTTTTTAGTAGGGCCTATAGCAACAGAACAAACGGTAAAGATTTTAAATTTTAAAAGGATAGACTCAGACTAGATACAAGGAAGAAAATTTTTATGCTGAGGGTGGTGAAAAACTAGAACAGGTTGCCCAGAGAGGTCGTAGATGCATCATCCCTGGAACTGTTCAAGGTCAGGCTGGATGAGGCTGTGAGCAACCTAATCTAGCTGAAGATGACTCTGCTCACCACAGAGGGTTGGTCTAGATTATCTTTAGATATACCTTCCAACCCAAACCATTCCACAGTTCTATAAACCAAGATAGTACAAAACATTTGAAAAATTCTTTTTAATTTTAGTATTACAAATACATACCTGAAAAAATATCCCAGATTTACCTCTGTACTAAGTCTCTCATCCCTTAATTTTGAAAACCATAAATCATATACATGGATGTACGTGCCTACACCCAACTGACAACAGGATAAAATGTCTGATGGCAAGGTAAGGGAATTGTACTGAGCAATTGTCCAAGAAGCAACTCACACAGAAGTTGGTCTGGCTTTTCTTGTTTTGTTTGTTTCTTTGTTTGGGTTTAAGTAATGGGCAGCCTATAAATACCAACAAGCAAATGAACACATCTTGACTCTGGATGTAAGCACACAAGTCTAAGCACATCCGTCTAGCAAAGAACATGACACACACAAAACCGTTTTAAATAAAACAAGAGCTGTCCTAATACGCTTAGGCACCTGCAATTATTCCACTTAGTCTCCAGGGCTCTTCAACTGTGCACAAATAAGAGCAGATGGTTCCATAACTCTTCTCCCTTTCAAGAAGCACCACTTCATGCAAAGGTGTAAAGTGATGGGCAAGACAAGAGATGGGCAACTAACTACTCCTATGTTTTCCCAATCCATGCTTAGTGCTATACAGTTTTAAATCTTGATTTGCTTAACCTACAAATGTTCTAAACTCCAATCAAATACTGTAGAACAAGCCAGAAATACATACACTACACATATATATGTGAGTCTCTTCCTCCTGATTTTTTCTTCATTATCTGTGAATGTACGTATATATCAAAGAAAATAAATGAGGTAATATTTTTTAAATTGTTGAATCAAACCTCAAGAAGTCCAGCTTTTGTGGTCACCACTAACATATCAGAGTTTCCTTCATCTTCCATAGTGAGCAATTCTTCAACAGGAGAAGAGGTCCGAAACTGGAAAGGTGTGCTTGCTCCACGGATTTCTCCTTTGTAAGTCACGTAACAGAACTGATAAAATTCCCCATCATCATTTGGGAGATAATACCCTATCAAAATAAATTCAGATTTGAAGAAACTTTCTACACAAACTTACAAGTCTCCATCTGGAAACATTACAACATCCTGATTGACTTGCAGATTTCATACTTATTATCTCAGTAAGGCACAGATAAATCATCAAAACAGCAGAAACAAAAACTCATCCTATTTGGAAACTTTCATCCCCCAAAATTTCTCCTAGTTTTGAAGACAAACTCAAAATAGTGTTAGGCAATAGGTGCTGTATGTGCCTATCACCTTACATACATTAGGCAATTGCTGCTGTGTACATATTTATGAAACAGAATAATTAGCAATCAGATGCCATGAAGTTGTATCATGACCACAATATTGTGTAACTGTTGTACAATCACAGAACAGAGAGACAGTGATTTCTTTGCCTTGAAATACCAACAAAACCAATTACAGCAGACAAAGAATAATATGTAATGACAAGACATCTGCAACTTTATCACATTCAATTTTTTGCTCATTTGGGTTTTGGGGTTTTTTTCAGTGGAGCAATCACAATTGACTTGTGCTATTTTGAAATGCCAAAGCACAGGACTGCTCTGAATGGATGACACGAGCTGCAATGTGTGAGGGGAGGAAGGGACTGAGGGGGATGGAGTTTAACAAAGTGCTTATTTTTTTAAACTGAGAAAAAAACTCTTCTAGACTTGACAAGGTAAGAATAAGCCCTCTTTCTTGTAGCTATGTAATACTGCATGTTGCAAACAAATTACTTCAGAATGATTTCTATGTGAGTATTCACTGAACTGTTGCCCACTAAAGTTTAAACATGAAGCCTCTTGCATTACCTGTATTCACACAGTAATATTTGTGGATGTTAAAACAATCATTTCCAGAACTAATGAGATTTTTACCTTCATTAGTATATGCAAGAAACTGTGCCTTACCCAGTCTAATGTTAAAGAAAACCAATTGGTTTGATTCAGAACACTTAATTGTCAGATACCCTAGCCAGCCTGAGTACGATACTAGCATAAATCCTCAGCAATGTTCAGTCCAGCAGGTGATGTCACCCATTTCAGATCTTATTTCACCACAATTCAATCTTCTCCATTTCTAACTTTATCACTAATTTCTATTCACCAACTTTTACTCCAGGTTCTGGGAAGTCTTTGCCCAGCACTCTTAGCTACTTTTCCAATGGTAATGGTAAAACACATGGTAAAATGATAAAACACATGTGCTATACGGACACCACTTGTATCAAGAACTTCATTTTTTCATTACTGTTATATGTTATTAACTGAATCTTTGGGAATAGTATCTGAGTTGAATCAGGATTCATGCTTTTGGACCTGAATACACTTTCATATATAGCACTACAATTCAGTTTATCTGATTCGGTGTTTCAGATGAAACTATGCAGAAACAAATTCAGAACAATCTACTTTGCAGCTCCTGCAAGTTTTAAAATTGGTTCGAATAAGCTGATTTTAAAACTACTGAAAGTCATTTTACTTGTATCTAACATGTACTGGAAAAAACAGATTCCTGATTATTTTCTTCCAACACATCTACTTGATCGTAAAAAGAAAATAAACATTTAAAGCATGCTGCACAACATTTACTATCTAGCTCAGGTAATTAAGCTCCTGTAAGCTCTACTGATCTCATCTCAGCAGCACTAAAATATCTTGCCAAACACAACTGGGAGACTGTCTGAATGGAGATTAAATCTGGCAGCTCTGTAGAAGCCCAGGTCTGTCAGCACAGAATGTAACAGATGGGACAGAGTCACCTGGTCTCTTCAAAATTTCTAAGTACAAAGGACTGATAATGGCATGTAGAGTCCTACATTTCTAGGTCACTTTTAGTTTCAGTCCAACATAATTTCATTAAATCAGTGAATTTTGGTAACTGTAAAAGAAACTAGTGACTTCCATTTCCTATAGAGCACATATATATACATTGATTTCAAGGTTACAAACTGGTCAGATCATGTGGATATGATCATTATCAAAAGAGCAGAACAAAAATGACCTGGTTTAAGAAAAAGACCACTGACATCATTCAAGCTACCACCATTTGCAGCTTAAAGCTGCAAGCTAATACAGTGGTCACTTTGGGACTTGAATTATTATTTTTCATATGTATTCTAAGCAATAAACACACACAAAGACTAAAACCAACTCTGGAAAGTAAAGAAGATAAGATGGTACATAAAATTCTGTTCATAAGCAGAAAAGCATTAAACAAGTTTAGTGGAGGTGTTCTTTCACATGAAATTCCCAATGTGTGCAGGTTTTTGACATTTGTAATGGCCCGTCACAGTACGTTCTGCACACTGACTATGTGGCAAAAGTACCATCTCTATCACCATTTCAAACCTGCCACTTGGTAACTTACATCAATGGTTCCTACTCATTTCAATGCGAACAATGGATAATCCACTCATTCCATGTGTAGCTGATTTTAGAGACACCAGTCACTTCACAATATTTCCCTTTTCCAGGTTCAAAAACCCAGCAGAAGGAAGTTGGGAAGACGAGCTAGTCCAGTTCCCCACTCAAGAGATTGTTGTCAGCACCTGTCAGACTACTGTGTCTGCATCTAAACAACTGTGTGGAATTCTCATCCTTCCAGACCAGGAATACCAGCTCAAGCACTGCACTACTCCTTGGTAAAAAGGTTCTTCTAATGCCAGAGACAAATCTTCCAAGTCACAATCCACAGCTATTGTCCCTTTTTGGACTTAACAAGAAGAGTGTGGCTCTCACCTTTGCAACTCCACACCTTTATATGGAAGCCATTTCTTAATTTTGATCTTCCTTGTTGCACTTTATTTTTTTATACTAAATCTTTCTTGAGATTGCAAAGGGGAGAGAGAAGATCTGATCTGCTCACTGTGTTGAAATGCAGTTATACTGTAGATCTGCACAGTGGTGCAACATTCTTTGTATTCTTTATTCTTTTCTTAAAAACCTCAGATATTTCCATCAGTTTCTGACTGCAAAAGGTCCAATGAAACTCTGACTACTCTGATCCTTCACCAAACCATCATCTACACTACTTATTCTTTGACAAGAACCACTTCATAATGATGTTTAAAGTCCAGAGACTAAAGATAAAGACATGATGCTTTAAGAAATAACAAGATTAAAAAAGTCTGCTGATGATTAAACAAAGTCTCTTTCTGTATTTTAACAGTTTCCAGAACTTCTCTATCAATCATGAATATTATTCATTACTACGTAAAAAAACAGATACTAAGTCACATAACTTTTCCTTACCATTCCCTTGACATCTAAAGTAAGGCTGAGCTTCTCACAGTGAAAATTCTCCAATTTATCTTTGTAAAAGTCTAGAACTGTTATACAACCCTCAGCACTGAAATGAACAGGTAAGTATTTAAAACGCTGCATGAGCTGGAAAATACAGATAGATGCTGCTTTATACTCACCTTGAAACGTCAGCACACAGTTAACAGTTGATCCTTCCACATAATTTTCTGGCATAGGTGACCAAAGAAATGTGTAATAATCTCTTGCAGTACTCCAACCAACCTAAACAAAAAAAAAACACAAAAAAAAAATATTAAGCAGAATTTGTTATGCACAGTCAAGATATCATGGTCTGGCCTTTAAAACATACTGTAATATGCATATTTCTGCTTCAACATGCAATAAAAAGATACTTAACAATGTTTACAAATCAGGAATATTTTAACAAGCATGTCAAAGATTTAGCATTAATTTTATTAAGCTTGTTACCTAAGGCAATAAATGGGTCTAAGGCAATAAAAGGGTCTATATAAAGTAAAACACCAGACAGTTTTCACTATACATTAAACTACTATTTGGTACATTAATAATTTTCTACTATAAAGATACAGATTCCTATATTAAAATACAAAAATATTCATTCTTAATTTTATAGTGAGATTGTTTTAGTGCAAGTTCTGTCAATGCTGACTGTTTTGTGTCCACAGTCCAACTGACTCATCAGAAAACAAAAAGCAGGAAAGAAAAAACAGCTTTCTCTTCTATTGAAAAGGCCAAAACTGATGGGGCTGCACGAGCACTTTTTGGACAACTTCTGCAATACTACAGACCAGCATTTCACTGGAATGCTAATCCTCTCACACACACATACACTGTGTCTGCAAAGAAAAAAACAAATTTGCATGAAAACCTAAATCAGTCAAGTCTGACAATAAGTATCTGATTTCAGACTTTTTTCCTAAGAGTGCAATTCTGTACAGTGGAGAGGCCCTGGAACAGGTTGCCCAGAGAAGCTGTGTATGACCCACTCCTGGAAGTGTTCAAAGGCCAGGCTGGATGGAACTCTGAGCAAGCTGGTCTAGTGGAAGGTGTCCCTGACCACAGCAGGGGGGTTGGAACTAGATGATCCTTAAGGTCCCTTTCAACCCAATCCATTCTATAATTCTCTCCTCTGAAGACACATACTCCAACAGGCTTGAAATAAATGTATCTAAACCAGAAAGCCAAAGTAACTACTGCAAAGCAATGGATATTTATAATAGTAAAGTAGAAAAAGAAAGATATCTGATTTATTATACTGGCTAAAAAAAAAAGTACCAAAAAACATATCAAAAGCTAGGTGCAATACAGTTTATCAATAAGTGGTCTTGGAAGAATTAAGATGTGGATAGGGAATAAACTATTTCCCAATTTTTATCAGGTAAGACAGTATCTCAAGAGGAAAAAAACCCAAAAAACCTAACACACATAAAAACCACACAACAACCAAAAAATATTAGGTTACCAATCACGATTTTCAATAGTTCAATAGACAAGATTTCTAAAATTCAAGGTCAAAAGTTCTCCTTTATGAAGGATGCATTGAAGTAGTGTACTCTAGAAATATTAAAAACTGAATTTTTAAAGGAGTTGTCAGTTAAAAAAAAAAAAGGAAAACAAGTTTAGATAGGCAAAGAGAACACCAAAAGTGCAGGCAATTCAATAGCAAAACAGCAATTATATATGTATAGAGACATACATTTTATGTATGCAAATTAATAATTAGCCTTAGTAAAAAAAATTGTGAATAGATTATTTCGTAGGTGTCCATTACACTTCTTCACTTTGTATTTAAAAGTGTGGAAATAAAGTAATGTTTGGAAAAAAACAACTCATCTGAGATGACCAAGCCTTTTTTATATTCTTAAAAAACACACATTAGCAGCAAAACTAGATAAAATTTTCATTTTGCTAACTGTAGTAACTACAGTCACTTCTTTAAGGCAACATTCATTAAAGAAAAAGCAGTGCAGACACTGGCCACATCCACCAGAATGGAATCACCTACTGTATCTTAACCTACTCTTTGCTAAAGTTTAGAAGATTTCTATGATATCTCCCATCAAGCAGCTTTTAAAGATGTCAATGAAATGAGATTTCAGGGGTTGTTATTCCCACACTCTTAAACATCTCAGAAATAACAAGAGAAAACTCTTCAAGTAACTTGAAGGGAGGTGAAAGCAATTTTTCCTTAACAAAAATTCACAGGAAAAAAATTTTGCAAATTTTCGTATCAGCCACAACTTCAGATCCAAACTGGATGTTAAACCCCTTTTTTTTTTTTGCTTATCCTACTTTTACCTTAGGAAAGTGAAGTATCTACCATTACTTGCTGCCTAAACATAAAGCAAGCACATAGCTTTTTAAATGTAGCTCTCATTGAGTGAAAAGTCACCATCTTCTTCATCATTTCAGGAGGGAAACTAAATTATTATGTCCAGAACTGTGTTGAAATGAAACAATCTTTTCACCCTACTCTAGTTTTCATTCCCCTTTTTAAATAAAACACCAAAATACACAGACAGTGTATACTATTTTCCTGAGTGAAATAACATCTTTCCTTCTGATAATTAACACTTTGGAGAATATAGAGAGAAAGAACAAAATCAAGTGAATATAAAGCCAAAAATGGTCCCTCTAGGAGATCAATTCAACTTATGATTCAGTTTACCCCAGGAATTGTAGCTTTCTTATTTTTCTTAGGTATCACATGTTGATTTGTAAATTAATTTTTTTTCTGAAACTAAAGTTATTTTTATCAATACTCTGCTTGTAACTGTAACCCACAAGAGGATTTTTTGGTGAAGTAATTTAAAACTTTAGTCATACTGATACAAACAAAAAGAGCAATTATGTAGAAAACAAATAACTCTCCTGGCCTATTTCTTAGAGAAGGTGATGTATTTTTAAGCATGACTAATCTGTGGGCTACTGGCAAAGGAAGGACTGTGACATAACAAGAGCTAGTGGGCAATACCCTGGGAAGTTCACCCCACATGTATTTTCTCCAACAATTCCCCATATTTCCTGTCAGCCATCAGCTGCTTCCCCTAGCAAGGCTCCCCATCTCACACTCTCATGATCCTGACAAACCCATTATTTCTTAATGGGCACACAAAAGTCATCAGCAAGTTTGGATTACCAAACAGCTCTCGTCACTGCACAGAATTTCAGAAGATGAGAGCCCTGCTATGGGCTGCACGTGACGAAACGTGACAGTGCAGAGAAGGAAGTATGAACAAACCTCATCTTCCTTGCAGCTGAATATGTTTAAAAGGGGAAGGTGAATATTCTGCAGCAAAGCAAGTCAGCTTTGTAACATGACTCAATATCTTTCCTACTCAGCAATGATTATCATTAAATTCCATAGGGTTATTTCTTAGATGACAGAAACAAGGAGCAAAACCAAAGTACTTATATGCTGTGAATAAAAGACAAATTGAAGTAATGAGTATTTTAGATGTAGGATCTAGATATTAAGCATAAAAAGGCAAATCTATGAACAGGTTTTAATGAAACTTTTACTTTAGTAGTTTAGATCTTTTGACAATATTCTCTTAATAAGCCTAGTATGGAGGACATAGTGGTTCAGAAATACAAAAATACTCCTACAGTCATAAGCTTCAATATATTTGTGATAGTGTAATCTCTTGCCTTAAGACTCGAACACACATTGGTTGGCTCAGCAATGATTAAATGTGACCTCTGACACAGATATTTCTTTCAGCTCAGAAAGGAAACCAATAGTTGCCTGAAGACAGGGTTAAAATTTTATGAATAAGTTTTAAGACTGCTAAATGGAAAGTCAATAACATTGAGATAAACTGAAACTAGTGGTAAAAGCTACAAAGGACATGAACATAAAGTGAAAATGATGAAGAGAAAAGGGGAATACTTGTCAACAGCCCCAGAGTAAGTTCATATGGAAAACAAAACACTGTAGCTCTGGAAGCAAAACAAACATTTCACTGTTACCAAAGAAAACTCTTCAGGCCTGTAACAAGGAGAGTCTGACCATTTAAACTGCCAAAACAGCTGATATGACTAACACAGAGCACCTGTTTTCATGAAAACATTACAGAAAACACACAAGTGCTTCTAAGAAAGATCTGCAAATTTCATTTCTGCATTTGAAATTCAGTAACAATGAAAAAGAAGCCATTGAGAGAAATTATGTCCATTATAAAAAGAGATTTAAAATCAAGTCAATTAAGTTGTTTCATTTTTCATTTCCTTCATTTCCTAAGTTCTAAAAATTTATGACCTAATTACTGAAGCTGCAAGTATATTTATTTACATTAATAATTAGAACTTAAAAGCTGTTAAAAAATGGAAACAAGGGGAGAGATGTGTAAACCCACAGTTAACTCCTATATAGGCCTCATGTGAAGCTATTCCTACTTTGCAATGAAGAATACATTCTCATGTACTAAACTGTGAGACCAAAGTTAAAAAACTTCACTTCACACATCAGTTGGGAAAAAAAAAAAAAAAAAAACCAAACCCAAACCAAACAAACAAACAAAAACAAAAAAAAACACCTACAACACCAACTTCCAGTGAAAGTGCTAAAGTTGAAACAAACACACAGTAGTACTTTCTTACCACCAGAAACCTTAAATAAATGAGAAATTTCTATGGGACACACTGGGAGACTTTCTCTGAGCCAGGAGGACTACAAGGTGCACAGCTAGGTCCAACCTAAAAAATTTGCATGGGCAATGGCATGGACATTGGCATGCAGAATATCCAACCTTAGGTACACAAACATTATAAATAATAGAACAACTCCAGCCCAAAATCTTCTTAAGATCAGAAGAGGAAAAAGGAGAATGACCTATCAAACTACACACGTGACTGCAAAGTAGACTCTTTATGAAAAGCTGTAATCTTGAGAAGTTCTCTTGTTCCCAGAATGTAAAGTCTGAACTTAAGTTCACAATCTGACAAACATCTGACCAAGAGAGCAGTCATCTGCGCTGACTGTGCCAATACCATTACTTTTCAAGGAATTTCTGCAGAATTCATTCTGCTGCATTGACAGTGCCTGATGATCTATATAGCAGCAGCAGGCCAAAGAAGCAAACCCAGGAAACACTTGTTTAGCTGCACCAACTTTGGCATAAACAATGGGCCTTTACTGTAGATACCTAATAGGAGCCAATTAAAATAAAAGCCATGCAATAACCCAAGTAAAACTCATCAGAGTGAAAATCATGCCCTTTTTGTAATTCAGATGGTAA